CGTGGGACGGCCGCTGCCCCCGCGCCCCTTTGAGTCCCCAGGGGGGTCCCTGCCAGGAGCAGAGGGTGCACCATGTCATCCCATTTCTTACACTTTCCTTAAGTATCTGCTGCTGGTAGCTGGGGTAAGGGACAAGAAATCCTTCTGGGTGGCAATGGCAGCTTCTGCCTTCTTTCCTGTTCCCAAATTCTCATTGCAAATCTCTCTGCTGTGGTGCTGACGCTCGCAGCCCCACGCTCCTCTCGCCCCACACGGAGCAGCTCCCAACACCCGTGCCGCTCCTCTGCCCGGCACCGGGGGAGCGGGTGATGCTCCGGGTCGATGGCAGCACTCTGCTGCTCTGGTGACTCTGGCGTCTCCTTGTGGGAAACCTGTTACAGCGGCATCTCAGTAAAGGTTTAGCACATTTTCTGTAAAGCTAACGTTTTTCTCGTTGTTTCCTAGGACATTGCAAACCCAGATGCAGTTGTCGTGCCCTCGGTACAGCCCCAGGATGGGGAAGAAACTCTCCTCTGAGCGTTTTCTGCAACTCCTTCAGTGCTGTGTCCCGCAACATTTACACAAATCGCTGTAGGTTTGTGCCAGTTGGGATGCTCACTCCTCCTTTGTTTTACTCACGGGTACCCAACCATCTGTCACATTTTACTAGAGCAGCTTCTCCGTGTGCAGCAGACAACTGAAATAGCCCGTATATGCCAGCCCAGGAAACAGCACTCCTTTGGAACTGTGAAGATGATAATTGCAAGGATTGTTCCACAGCTGTCATGCTTGTTTTTCCCAAAACACAGAAAAATATCGGACTGGCTGAACGTCCCCTCCTACCGCCGGCATCCTGTGCTTCTGCGGGCGGGAGGGAGGGCGGGCTGCGGCTGGGTGTGCTGTAGGTGTTCCTGTGGACAACAAGTGTGTCTGCACAGCGTGCCCGTGTTTGAGTGTCTGTGTCTGGTCCTGACTGCGTTTTTCTGTGCGTCGTTTGCCTTTCTGAACAGCAGACTGTTCACGGTGACTCGGGGCAGTGTCTTTGTTGCTGTGCTTTGCTCGCGCACATGAGCGCTTTGGTTCTGATGAGGACATCGGGGGTGTCCGGCGGAGCCGCGGCTGACGGGGGAAGGGTGGCCTGGCACAGGGGGTTTAGCGCGGGGGCTGCCCCCACCCCCCGAGAGGGCTGTTCTGCCCTGACGCCGGGGGAGTGCGACTGGGCGTTCAGGGCAGCGGAGCTGAAACGAGCAGGATTTGAGTGGGTTGTTACTCTAAGTCACTTAAGGTCAATATACATGAGATAGGAAATTTAAATGGGATCAAGTAATTTGAATTTGTTCCCTCCTGTAGTAAAGACGGCTGCGTTTGTATTTTCAGCTTGGGGACCGGGAAGTGCTTTCAAAGAGAAAAGTAGACAAAAAAGACTAATATCAGCTTTACAGCCCTCAGCGGTTTAAACGAAAGCATTGCATCGAGTGATCCCGAGTGCTCCGGTAGAAATATTTATTCTGTGCAAGATATGCAATATTTGCTTAAAAGCACATATTTGACTTTTTACCATTCAGCGATGGTCTTTTCCTTGTAACCAGGGAATGTCCACAAAATCAGAAGCAGCTGATTCACTGGACCAATACACTTTCACTGTTGTTCAATATAAAAGAAGTGCAGTAAATAGATAATCAGTGTTTACGTACGCTACAGTTGAATACACCTGGCACGTGAAGTGTTCAGAATTTAAATTCATGCTAAGGACCTTCTCCAGAGGTTTGTTTTTTCTGCATACATACGCACACCTGCACGGTTACTTGGGTCTATAAAAAAACCCGTACCAGTCTGTGTAGTTCTTAAATCTTGGAAATGATTTCGTTGCAAGTACACCACTTGCCAGCCAAGCAGGGGCTGGTCTCGGCATCGCTCTCAGCTTTCCAACTGAATGACTGATGTTGGGTTGAATATTTGTGATGCGGATACCCGTGCAAAGCAAATGGCTGTACCAGAGCCCTTTACAAACACACGTTCGTGCACGTGGGTGACAGTTCAGGCGCTGTAGGTGAGCACAGGCAGAGGGAGGCGGGCAGGGGTTTGCCTTGGCAGGGGTCCCTGGGAGCGCCGGGGTAAACGCTGCAGCTGTGCTTGGGCAGGTCATGGACCACTCTGTGGACCACTCCGGCTGCTTTGTCATTCAGCAGCGTTAGGAGCGCAGGGTGACAACGGGAGGGGTAAGCGGTGTGGTTCATTTGTTGTCGACGGTGCCGGAGTGACCTGCAGAGCATCTCCGAACACTCTGAACAAACTCGTGCTCTGCAAATGGCGCACCAGGAGTGGGGTCCCCACTCCGGCACTGGCTCTGGGTGGTGGTGG